TGCTCCCCAACAAACACAAACACACACACACACGCACACAAGTGCGCAGCCAGGTGGGCACGACGGCAAATAAGCTCTCTTTAATACAGATAACGCCGGAATATGTACGTATATATACATGTATGTGTATATGTGCCCATATCCAATCAAGTGTGTACTTTAGCATAATCAATGCATTGCCTGAGCTTTAAAATCGCAGCAAATAACATAAAATACAACAAGATTGCTCTAACCGGGAGTGCTCGACTAGAATATACCCTGCTACCACATAGCAAGCAGAACTCAGATGAGGAGTGACTACAAAGTATATTGTTACTCAGTTATGCAGAAGGATAAAGGTTTACTTCGATAGTTTACATAAATGTCCAAAGGTTTGAAAGTTAGGGTTACCTATATGTGAGATATTATGCATATATTAAATGTATATATCCATATATTATATTATGTATCCCTGAGCATCTGACATGTCTTTCGCCATATCAGAATATTAGCTAATAAAATAAACTATTCCTCCATATTCTAAAAATTTTAAATAATATATTAAATGAATAACTTATAGGGAATTCATATAATATCAAAATACTTGAAAATATAAATACTTCAATCCAACAATTCATTCAAATTCTAAGTAAAACAAATGCTTTTTTTAAGCTCTCAAATATTTGTTTGCATTTATTGCAAAAATAAATATCACGTACTAACCGCTTCTGCTTTGTTTCCCTCTTTTTACAGGGTATACGCAATATATTGTCTATGCCGAAAAAAAAAGCAAACAAAATCACAGCGAGCTCCACCTTAAAAAATGTGCATGTGCCTTGAATCTGGCCAGCTTTTGCGGCCTAGTCACAGATTTTAACGGCAACTTCATGCAGTCACGATTTGTTACACACACACACACACACATGCAGAAACATACACACATACACGTCCATTCAGTTTGATGTTGGGTGTATAGACTGAGCTCCTTAATCTATCGACTAAATGCATTGCATAAACTGGCGGCCAAACCTCAGCGACGACGATTTCAGCCAAAACAATGCAACAAACGAGTTCGAAGTTGTTTTTCATTTTCATTTTGATTCGTGCAAATAGCTCAAAGGCTGTTTTTGTCTTGGCCAGCGCACTGTATATATTCTGTTGCTCCCCTGCTCTTTACCCCTGCCCTCTCGCACTCACAACTCGAACTCTCTTAAGCATATTTTACGGCCATGTCAAAAATTATGAACGCAGCCAATATCCATTTGATATGGGCTTTATGAACAACAAGTTTCTTGGCTTCAGTTAGCCGAAAAAATGCAAATTGCCGCACTAAATTGAGCCGAATTGAACAGCAAAGAACAGCTTTTGATTCATATCGAGGGTATCAAATAACGCCCCCGACTGCTACGCCTATAACGACGTCCAACAAACTGGGCCGATTTGCGGTTAGAGGCTATCAACAATTTGAAGGCGGCAAAAGTCGCGCATTTAACTAACCCAAAGCAGTTGCAACAAATCGCAGTTAGAGTATTACTGGAAACTGTTTAGGAGCTGTGTGTGTGGGACAAGGATGTGAAGTAGAGATATATTAAAGTGGGCCAGGCTGATTAATGATATGCCAATACTTGAATGAAAGACTAAAAAAATTAAATAACTACTTTTGTTTGTATTCATATTATACGAAATTGTTGAGGAAGCAAGAGTGGGACAGGGACATTATGGATAAGAGATATTTATGTGGGCCAAGCTAAGATTTTAAATATGTCCTTTAAAATACTAAAAATAAGAAATTCTCTAGAATTAAAGATATATTTTATTACAGTCGAGTCCCGATAATTGACTTACACAGAAACTCAAATTAACGAGAGTAAACTCTTGTCAAGGAAATACAATTTTTTCGATTTATCGCGATTATCAATCGATTAATCAATCGACTATTACAACTATTTTGTTAATGTAATTTTCTATCTCTTATTCAGAAATATTTTTTTGCTCATAACATCGAATTTCCTTTTGCTCTTCGTCGTTTTATTCCCTTCATCAGCTACAATTTTCTATTTATGGCACTAAGAAATTGCTGTACATTTCGTAAAAAATTCGTCATAGGCCCAACTTTAGGCACAGTTATGAGTCGATGCTTAATTGCGCTTCTGGCAGGAAGTCGAGACTTCGGAAATGAAACATGAATAATGCAACTGATAAAAAGGACAGGCTTAAGAGAGCAAGAGAGATAGAGATAGAGAGGGGAGAAAGTGCAAAGATTTATGTTAATGTGTGCTTTACAGGTAAATCGAAGCCCTTCGGCTAATAAGCTCTGGCCAGGCACTTTATCAATGGCCAAGTTAGCGCAAAAGCCAATTACACAATTGTGAAATGCGTAGCTGCCACAATTTGTTGCATGCTGCAGCGTATGGCAATTACTTTAATTATGCGACTGTTAAAACCAAAAAACCCAATCACACTCGCGTCGACAAGCCACCAAAGCGTGTGGTTCGCTGTGGTGTCGCGTGGTGCACCGAAAAACCAGCACTCGCCACACATACAACATATATATTGATTGCTATGGCCAGAGAGGAGGCCGGACTCCACAATCGGGTTACCTAATCCAATGCCAGACGTGGCAAAGGGGTGTGCCCCACAGCCAGCCATGATGCAGTGCATCCGCTGGACAGCTGCCCAGCCCATAGCCACAATCGCAGCCGAGCCCAGCCCAAATCTCTGTTCCGCCATGCGAAATGTTTCATTAGACACAAAATTATTTCGTTTTTTCTTTTCCTTTTTTGCCACGCACAACTTTAGACATTAGGCGCGTTGTGCGTAGCTGTTATTGGTTTATATGTATATAGAGATATAGATATAGATATATATATCTCTCGCAGACATACTTCACAATTTGTCGTCGGCTTTTGTGCCATGTGCAGTGGCAGTGGCTGTCGCTGCTTTTGCTGCTGCTGTGGGTTTTTGTTTGCCTCGCGACTCGCCTCTAATTACAATTTGATTGTTTTTCGCAGTAATTATTTCATTTGTAATAAATTTTGCTGTCGTTTTTACACACACACTTTATGGCGCAATTTGTCGCAGACACACCGTGTGCGTGTGCGTGTGTGTGTGCGTGTAAGCTTATGTGACTAATAAGAGATTTTTTAATCCTCTGCATTATGCTGAGTGGGATTTGCCTGCTATAATATTAAAAAAAAAAAAATCCTTAAACATCTGCAGATAAATTTCCAGTTTTGCTTATGATGCAAACAAATGGGCAGTAAATTAAATTCAAAAGTGCTACATATAATATTTTATCTCAATAAATGTTACTTTATTTTTCCTAAGTCTTACTATTCATTACCTATTTCAATTTAAAGACTGAATGTTTTAGACTAAAAAATAAATAATTACAAAATTTTGCACTTAAATACATTTGAGTTTCCAAAGCTTTGATAGTTAATTCATTTATAATCAAAGGTTTAGACCAACACTAAAAGCTTTTAGTTGGCTTAAAAATAAAAATATATTGAAATAATTTAAAAAAGAAAAATTTTTTTATTAAAAAAATATGAATATATTCTTTTTGCAAAATAAAAATTTAATTAGTTTTCACAAACATCTCAGCTTGAAGTGCTTGAAGTAAAAATTGTCGTCAATTTCGAGCCTTTTTTTTTAACAATAAAAAAATGTCTATTTAGCCAACATTTCCGTAGGTGTTTTCCTATACATTCATAAAAGGTAAAAATCTAAAAGGCTAAATATTTATTTTTTTTTTTTTTAACTAATAATAATAAAATAAAAATTAAAAAAAAAATTCCCAACAAACAAATTATGTCAGAAGTTAAGACTATTTGTAAAAAAAATTTAAATATATAAATAAATAAAAAAAAAATAATACTTAAACTAAAATTAAGTAAATAAATAATAAAAAACAATTTAAGCAGAAGAAGAACAAATCTTGTTTACCATTCTTAAAGAGAAGCATTCGTTTTCTTAACAAGCTACAAATCTTGTTGGAGCCCCATTTTTTGAGTTAAAAATAAAAATTATGTTTATGTCGGCCTTTTCACAGGGACAGCTGCCCTTCAACGAAAGTTCATGTGCCTGCGGCATGAAGGCAGTTGCGCAACACACACACATACAGACGCACACGCAGCAACACACACACAGTCGACACTCGACTTGAATGACCGCATTTAAAGCATTGAGAATCGACGAAAAAAAAATATATTTATATACATATATATACATATATATCAGACACACACTATATCAAGGTTAAGGTCAATTACAATTACAACAACTGCGACAACTGCCGATATCGTGCATAAATTGCGCAAAGTGTAGAATGAAATTGAGAACAAGTTTCGAGCCAACGGGCCACTGGACGGACGCGGCTTGAAGGCAAAGCCATCATGCAAAATACCTGTCGCCGCCGTGTGGGCTGCTGCAAATAGAGGAAGCGAACGAGCATCGCCGCTGCTTGCTTAGCCGCAGCTGCAAATTAAGCTAATGAGCGTAGAAAAACCAACAGCAACAACAAAAGCAAATGGTTATTAAGCAATTACGTGGCAACGTTCTAGCCAGCGTCAGCAGCAGCAGCTTCAGTTAGTATTTTAAAGTATTTTCCCAAAGAAGCTACAAGGTCAATAGCCAAAAAGAACGTCAGACGACAGCAACATGTCAACATGTTGCACAAGCTGAGAACGTGTTGCGCAATGTTGCTGCAACAGAAGCGGGGGTCAGAGCCAGGGGTTAGAGTTGAGCCGCAGATGACAGCTGTGCTCTAGCTCGAGCTCGACTTCGACTTCGACTTCGAATTTGAATTGAAGCTAATGGCCCCAAATGCGGGTGCGGCCGAAACCCAAATTATAATCTTGACATTAATGCGATTTGCAACGCCCGTTACTGTTGTTGCAGCCTTGAACTTTAGCTTTTGGGGCTTGGTTCATTCAAGTTAATTAGATTTCATGTTGGCTTTATTTATCTCTCTATAAATATATGTATCTTCATATACAATATGTTTTCACTTCCCGTAGATTGCCGCGAAACAGAACGCTCGAAGCGCACCAAACGCCCGCGCGCTCCGGAACCCGTCAACTTTGAGCCGGAGCCGCAGCAGGATCTAGAGAATGAGGAGAGCGGCAGCCAGGAAAAGGATCTGCCCGAAATACCCGACAATTTTTTGAGTCCATCAGTGCGCGAATATCTGGAGTTGGGCAAATCAATACCGGGTGAGCATTACAACTGACAACGCCATCAATATGCGCAACTGCCACGAGCACTGCCCAAAATTAGGCAGCCGAGCTGCTGGAGAGGACGACAACACGCTGTCAATACTGAATTGCAATACCCTGTAGAGATTGCAAGTGGGTATATAAGGGGTTGCAGAGGAGTAAGAGTACTTTTGAACTGTGTAGAATTCGATAGCGATGCTTGCTTTTACTTTATACGTGGGTTAAGATTTATAGATCCCATAGATCTATTTCCTACAGCTAATGTTAGAGAAATTCACTTCTATATTGTCTTTTCATTGTTGTTGCCTTTGTCATCGATTTAAAGCTTTTATATATAGCAGGCTGCTTGCAATTATATTTGGAATTTGAGTCACATTTAAGTTTAGAACTATGTCAAGTTCAATAGAGTCTTTAGAAGTACCTAATTGACAGACATGATAGATCTGAAATATGTGTTTAATAATATTGCTATGCGAAACAGGAATTAGATCAAACATTTTATTTAATTTCTTTGCTGTTGCTTTGCTTAAATTTCAAGTCGATTCAATCAGCTTTTCTGAAGTCTGCCTTGGTATTGAAATATACCACATATAAGTATGATAATATATAGTAGAAGTTAAATACTTTCACAAATGAACATTATTCTTGCAGTGAAACCAAAAAATTCATAATAAACATTATCAAAAATTACTAAGAAATTCAACCTATATCTAAGTCTTCTGTTGGTTATATAAAGTAATACCAGTGTAAAGTAATATCAGCTTAACTAAATACAGGATATCAACTAGTCAATTATTCGCCCGGCACAACTTGTTTTCATTTTCAGTTGCAAAATGCGTTTTTCGACCAAACAGAAAAAAAAACCTTTTTTAAATTATTTTTCGAATGGAAAATTTGGCACAGAAGTGCAGCTACTCGTAAATTCATTTATTAGCGAGTGACGGTGGGGTCACGCCGGGTCGGTGGAGCCGCCGGTGCATGTCAGATTTGTTTATGCCATACGACCGACTTTTTTTTGTTGTTTTGCATACGGCCGGGCTGGGTGCGTGCGTGCATTTGACATTTTTTGAGGGGAGCAGCAGCAGGAAAAGCTGGTTTGAATGTGCGTTTTTGCAGCTGCACTTTCCTTGAAGTAAACAAAAAAAGAATTGCCAGCTGAATCGAAATTGATTGGCAACAAACAAGATGGTTTGTTTATTTTCGCTCGCACTAATTGCAATCACCAAATAATCTTCACAGGTCGACCCGGCGTAGACTATCCCATACTATCGGCCATACCCTATACGAACTTCTACTGCGATGAACAGGCCTATCCGGGCTTCTTTGCGGACATGGAAACTAGATGCCAAGGTGAGTAGCTCCTACAACTCTCTCCCTCTTTCTCTCTCTCTCTCCATCTGTAATACATTGTTCTAACGCTTTATATTGATAGGCTGGCACTATTGCGACATTGATGGACGTCAGGCCTCGTTTCTGTGCCCCAATGGCACACAGTTCTCGCAGGCGGTCTTCGTCTGCGATTGGTGGTTCAATGTACGCTGCGATCTCTCGCCCCGGCTCTATGCGATCAATGCACGACTATATCAGCGCCCCAAGGTGAACCCAACTCGACCACATCGCATCATCACCAAGCAGCTGGTCGAAGATATATTCACTTAAGCAGCAGCAGCAGCCTGCACAGATCTTACTTATATAGACTTTAAACATAGTTTGTCAACAACTATTAGTGCTTAGATTTCAGTGTTTACGCCACGAACATGCTTGTGTTGCTATCATGATTTATAAATGGTTCTCAATTAGATTTCGACCGCGTTTAGTTTATTTCTCAACCGTCAAAAAGTGCTGCAAATTTATACTCCTTAAACACGCCAAGTTTTAACTTAATTGTTGTTGTTGTTTTTTTTTTTTTTATCAAAATATTTGCTTTGAGAGCTTTTAAAAGATCTAAATGTTAATCTGATAGAGTTCAAGGAACAGCTTAATGTATTAAAATTTATATTAATTGCTGGAAAGGAAATATTGTATTAAAAATTTCAAATAAGAAGCCAACAATAAATAAAACACAACTAAAAATAAATACTTTAATTAAAAATAAATACAAAATTAAATTTCATTAAGCAGCCGCATAGAATATCTCAAATATTATCAAACTTCAGTAAAAATATTAAAGAAAAATTGTAAAAATATAAGATAAATGCATTTGATACATTTATTATTGTTAATCAACATGCATTTTATGTTTAGCTATATTTTCATATACAATATGTGTTCTATAGTTAGTACTTGCTGTAAATGTAAAATTTTGTATATACATAGACTTAGTTTGATTAAAATAAAAATTATTCCTAAGTAAAATAAAAAAAGTTTTTCTTTCAATCATTTTTAGTAATTTATTCAATGAATATCTTTTGAAGGATTATTCAGTAACTTATACCAAAGAATCATTAACCAAAAATCCACACAATTCCAAGATATGGTTCATAGACAAGTTCAATGAAAATTTAGCTGCCAAAGCCATACCCTTTGTGGTATACTTATATTTTATTATAATTTACGGTCATTGAACTGTCTACTAGCGAGAAACTAGTTCTGACACCCATAATATCTCACGATTTGCCACAGGAATGATATTTAGATGATATGAACATTTTGCATGATGTCTATACTAAAGGTAGATCTCCGACTCTATAGCTTCAATAGCAAACAATTTCAGTTTTCAAAGGAATGAATTGTAACAAATAAATAAAAATACTTAATACGCATTCACTTCATGTTTAAATATTAAGAAAACAATTTCATATCACGTTCCCCCTGTTGAGAGATTACCAAAACTACCCAAGACATCTATCATCCTATAGGTAATGATAATGTAATATCTATTATCCATCCTATGGATAACAAGGAAACGACTTCCAGCATCCTACATCCAGTCAGCATCTTCCCATAAATAATCCAATTGCCTATCAGCAGGCGCACACAAATTCATGCTGTTGCCACTGAAAACCGTTGCACACTTTTGGCTGCTGCATGCAGCGGCTAAAAATAAACTAAACGTGGCCAAAACGCCCGCATTGGCCTGAGCAAAAGTTTTGCCGATGGCTGCTGTGCGAGCAAGCGGCTCAATGGTCTAGGGGTATGATTCTCGCTTTGGGTGCGAGAGGTCCCGGGTTCAAATCCCGGTTGAGCCCGGCTATAAAAACTTTTTCGTAAATATTTTAAAGGCGGCTGTTATTTTTTTATTTTATTTTTTTTCGTACGGTTAGTTAATTAAACAAACAAGTCGGGCGATTGTCATTTGTAGATATGAGCAAAGTATTTGGCTAACAGCTGCTGAGGCTGGGGCTGCTGCTGCTACTGTCGCTGCTGCAACAATTGAGAGATGGCTGCCGGTTGATTTGAGCGGACGCTGCAGTTGCAGCCAAAGCAGCCGCAGCAGCCAAGACGATAATGAGCCGGGGGCTAAAATATGTGCAGCTCGTTTTGTAGCTGCAACGATTGAGCAGCCGATAAAGCATTGTGTGTGTGCGTGCGTGTGCGTGTGTGCTTTATAGACGACAATTGGAAAATTGTGAACAATGAATATGGTTTGCCGTTGCATTCGCTTTTGACCAGTTGCATTAGCCGGTGTGAACCGATAGTAGAAAATACCGTCAAAAATACCGCCAAATGCCCGAAAGTTCAGCGCTTATGATGTAAGCGCGAGTTATCTGCTTAGATAATTTCCCCAGCTTTGTGTTCGTGTGTGCGTAAGACATTAGCCGTAAATAATTGACTCGAAGAATGGAGACATCTCAATCAAGTCTTGCCAAACCGCACAGCTGACTTTCACCTGGCCTGGCCTGATGCGGCGCAGCGCAAACAAATCAAATCAGCCAACGATATGCAATTTCGGCTAATATAACTTTTCATATCGTGGCCTTCGCTGCATGCGCCTAAATGGGACTTCAGCACAAATAACTGCAGGCCACAAAATCCAAAAATAATATAAATAATAAGCAACTGCGACTTCGAGTTAGCCGCGACACAGAGTCGGCAACAACAACAAGTGCCTGTTAGCCAGCTCCACGGCACAATATCAACAACAACATCAGTCAACCAAAAAACAGCTCACTTTTTGGCCAATCCGAGTGACAGCGGCCCACAGCAGCAGCAGCTGCCTTTACGTCAAAACTCATGAAAGCGCAAAAATGTGGCCTTAGAGATGAACGCGTGACATGAAATCCTAGCAAACATGTGAACTGAATAAGATAAATGTAGTTTGAACCGTGTTAAGATTGGCTTGTTGAAATATGGTTTGATCAAAAGAAAATTATTTTGAAGCATACTGTGCATAGGAGAGATTGAGATTGAGCTAAAGTTATTTTACAATGAGTGTTTTATAGCTTTTAGGCAAATTGACAACTAAGAGCAGTCTCAACTAGTTTCTTTAACCATTTTCTAATATTTTTATTTGATTTTACAAAGATTCCTTCATAGACAATGTATCGCATTTTGTAATTTTAACTATGGAGCTGCAGATATTGGCTTTGATTAGTAGCCATGATATCTCAATACTTAAGGTTATTGTGGAATATCAAAAACTCGGCTGAATTTATATAGAGAGTGG